ATGGTGTCTGATATTTCGGTTTGGGTGAAGGGAGTTGCAAGGAGTTGGGTCGCTGAGGAGGACAGGCAAGGAAGGTCAGTCTTCTGAAAATAAGCCAATATTTTCCCCATAAGGCCACCTGCCACCTCTCGGGGGGCAGCAGGGCCCAGATTATATAAAGAGGAGTAGTTATAGAATGCGCGGGCAATATCTTCAGAAGAGTGAACCCTCCCCTGCTGTGGGCAAGTGATGAGGGGAACATAAGTTCGGAGTCTTTTCGCTTGTATGGAGCGGGCTAACATCTTGCCACTTTTGTTTCCAAATTCATGGAAATATCTTAAAGTCAAGTCCCTGTGACGGAGATAAGCCAGATCCAAAACCGAGTGAAGTTCTGCACGACAGACTATGAGATCCTGATATAGAGTGTTTAGCTTCAGTGTCAGCTAGGGTCGCCAGAAGCTGGGAAATGTGCAGCGCCCGTTCCCTCTTTAATCTAGCCCCGTGCTGAATCAGGATACCTCGTAGGACGCACTTAAGTGCCTCCCACTTCACAGGTGGTAAGGTTTCATCCGAAGAGTAATGTGCTTGAAAGTCTCGGATCGCGGATCTGAGGGCATCCAAGACAATGGAGTCCTTCATGAGCGACTCGTTTAGTCTCCAGGGAGGGGGAACTTTTCGACGTGCCCGGTACTGAAAAGGTAAGGAAGACGGGAAAGTGGTCTGACCAGATTTGAGGGCCGATAGACGTGCTCGGTCGCCAACTAAGTAAAGAATGGGATGTGAAGAAGTAGTCAATTCTACTGTATGTGGCGTGGGGTGCAGAATAAAACGTATAGTCTTTCACCGTTGGGTGAAGTGTGCGCCATATGTCAACTAATTGCAAGGCCCGAAGTCTTTTACGTACGATGTTTAAGGACCGGAGTGAGAGATGGGTTTTCCCCGAGGAGGAGTCCATCTCAGGGTCAACAACAAAATTAAAATCCCCTCCAACAATAGTATGACCCATGAAGTTCTCAAGTTTGGCCATAACAGACACTAAGGCCTTCTTTTGACCTCTGTTAGGCATATATATATTAGCCAAGGTAAAAGGCTTTTGGTATATGAGGCATTGCAGGAAGAGATATCTTCCCTCAGGGTCCGACAGTACTTTAGAGACCGTGACTGGCAGAGAGGAATGGAACCCCACAGCTACGCCCTTAGAATTCTTTACTGGGTTATTACTGGTGTGCCATAGAGCATAATGTCTGGTGGGTAGTTTAGGAGCAACCGAGGACTGGAAATGGGTCTCCTGTAGGAACAGAACATGGATCTTACGTTTATGCATGTCATACAATACCTGTGACCGCTTCTTAGGATTGTTGAATCCCTTTACATTCAGGGAGCAGACATTCACCAATGCCATGAGCACCTATGAGATGAGATGAGCGAGATATTCAATGGACATACCCCTAGGAGACATGAGAAAAGAAGAGAGGAAGAAAGAAAGGCAAAGCAGGAGAAGGGAGAGTAAGCAGAATAGCAGCAAGAACCAAAACATACTGAGGGACAGAACCCCAGCGAGAGGTTATCTCTCAGGTAAGGGAGCAAAGCCCAACATGCCGTCCCCCAGCTCCCATCCGGAGCTGCAGGAGCACAATCTAATGGGGGCAAGGAATGCGACATGGTCCGGGAGCCCCCTAGACCAGCAAATGAAAAGTAACACTTGTATAACAATATAAAAGAACCTTCACAATGGAACGACTAAAGTATAGGGAACACATAGAACGCTTCGGGACAGCAGAACCTTCAAATGTTCAGGGCAAAGAGGTCATCAACACAATAATAAGCACCAGGGCGGGCAAAACACCACATAGGATTCTGTGGTAGGCATGGCACTATGCGATTGTGAATGAACAGTGCATGGTAGGTGGCAAAAGGGCATGGCCGGCATCTTTGTGCAGCAGTACGATATCGTGTGTGTCCCTGGGACTTAGCGTGCCATAGGACCATAACCGTCATCACATACTGTCCTCTGGAGCTGAACATGGCATCTCGCTGTCAACTGAAAAAAATGGAAACAACCTGGACTGTTAACGCGGAGTAGGTCTGGATGAGGATCTCCGTTCTCTGCGAGGCTTGGGGGTGACCATGTGCCACTGGTCCCGGCTCGGTATGTGAGTGAGGTCCGGCAAGGAGGGATCCGGCCAGGCTTCAATGGCGACTTCCTGTATGCCCAGAGCTGCGACAAAGGCCTGCAGATCCGATGGCGCTCTGAAGAAGTGAACCCTGCCGTACAGAGAGGGAGAACGGGAAACCCCAGCAATAAGGTATGCCAGCCTCCTGTAGCTTTAGAGTGAGCGGACGGAGAGCCCTCCGTTTGGCAAGGGTGCGCCTCGACAGGTCTGGAAATAGGGAGATCTGTGCACCATCAAAATCCAGAGGGCCACCAGCCTCCGCTTTGGTCATGATCTCTTCTTTGCATACATAGTAATGCACCCTGCATAGTACATCACGAGGGTGAGTTGCGTTGGGGTTACGAAACCCAGGCACCCGGTGTACCCTATCTATTTCAATGTGTTCTGTGACAGGGCGGCCAAGTAGGGTATTGAAGACGCCAACCACTGTGGCCCGGAGATCTCGTGTACCGGTGGCCTCGGGTATGCCCCTGAGACGAATGTTATTGCGTCTGCTGCGGTCTTCCTGATCGTCAATCATTGACCACATAAAATGCAGGGCTGTGTCGTGACGGTGGTCAGCTTGTTGCAGTTCTTCAACGGCCGAGGACACCGCAGGCATGACAGTTTCAAGAGAGTCTAGGCGCTGGTGGAAAGATTGGAGGCCCTCACGAAGCTCTGCCATATCTTGTTTGTGGGCAGACTCCAGCTTGTTAAATAGGCCTGCAATGTCTTGCTTCGTGGGCAGAAGTGCAAAGTACTTGCGGAACGAAGTAGGCACATCTGCATCCTCCCCTTCAATGTCACTGTGGTCCGCGGACTCCCATCCTCTACTAGTGCGGCCCGATTGCAGAGATTCAGGGGAAGAAGGAGCCGGTGAGAGGGCCCGTTTCTCCCTGCCCGTCGCCATCTTTGCAGAGCGCCCCGCTTTGGGAAAGAAGGTCTCAATAGCTTGCTTCCTGGTCGACGGGACCTTCGGTTCTTGCGAGCGAGAGCCCCGCTGTGTATTGCGACCCATATGGACCAAAAAGAAGGCGATAGGATAGGTTCTGGTACCGCTGGCCTAGGGGCTGGTGCCGGAGCTCTAGAACAGACGTCCACTCGCGGCCATCTTGCTGTACTTATTAATACAGGAAATACAGTATGTAGACTGTGAGACCGCCTGATGTCAACAAATACTGGGTGTTGTTGGGAACGTGAATACTCAATACTATATATTGCACAGTGCTATAACATTTAGCCCACAGATAGGCTGTGAAAAATGTGTGCTATATCCATGAGCAATACATTACTGAACAGACTGTGTACAAAGGGGATGATGTATTGCAGATGTTCCAAGAGAGGGGCATCAATCCAATAAAAGGAGGAATGACTGATGAGCTTTCTCCTTTAGGTCTGTAAAAGTTCTCATTCATCCAGGTCAGAGTATAGATAGCAGTAGTTAGTCTGTAATGTTGAATATGTTTTGCAACTTATGCAAGTCAATTCTAATGAGTGTCAGGAACATACCCCAACATTTATATCCACAAGGGTAGCACAGTCACTTTAATCCAATCACCATGGAACAGGATGAGAGGTATGAAAGTTAAGGAACTGCCCTGTTCCAGTTACATAATCCCATCCCTTGACATTAGGATGCCTGCATAGGTGTCAACTAGGGATGTCCCGATGCCACTTTTTCAGGCCCAAGTACAAGTACATCCCCTCCCCCTCATGTACTTGCCGATACCAATTACTGATACTTTTTCTTAAAGGGACAGGTGACTTTAAATGATCCATAGTACAACTTATGGCCGCTGCTGGGGTTTTTTTTTTTCTTACATACCTCGCCGAGCGTCGCGTCACTGCTGCTCCGGTGGGCGGCGCTCCGAGCGGGGTCATCTGGCAGTCTCCGGCCACCTAAATTATTACTATAGCATAATATATGGAAGACAGATGGAGTTGAAGGCCCATTCCTGTCCTGTTCTTGGACCATCAACATCTGCCTTGAGATTACAAAGTGATTGCATTAAGGTTTCTGTGTTACCTGCGTGGATAAAAATGCCGGGGTACGTTTCAACATTACAGAACAAGGTCAGTTGAATGTGACTAACCACTACTAGCCATTCTCCTGTAGTTATGAAAAAAAATTCAGAATAATAAAAAGTATACATATACTACTACAAAAAGTATAAATAACTGTCTACCTTGTAGAAGAAAGCTGCTCAGGCTGACTATGTTATAACAATTCAGTGTGACTACACTGTTCTAGAATTATCTTTGACAATTGATTCCATTCACATACATTATACGGTATTTCACTGTAATCAGATCTGCTGTGCATATCAGTCAAATAGACAATACACATTGTTTCAAGGAATGCAATAAAGAAACAAAGTAAATACAAAACATGAAGTCAACAGCTAAAGGATAACTCTGCAAGTTTCTGAGAGGAATGATTTCCTGGAAATACCATTACATTTCATTCTTGAATGATGTTTAATATATTCTAAAAATGCTACCATTGTAAATACTTTTCCCACTACCAAAATGAGTCTGGAGAATTATGTAAGCTGCCATTGCTGACCTTTCCTTTTGAGAATGCTGGTGTCCTGGTTGTAAGTTTGATGGGTCACTGATCTGGATAAGTATAGAGGAAAGGAATTCTGACACTCATTTACCATATGTATAATCTGGTGTATGACTCAATTATTGAAGCCAGAAACAGCTAGGCAACCAGCTTTTTTGCAAGAAGGTCAACATTGGTGGCCTCCATACTATTCTAAAGACAGGTTTTTTTTTAAAGTAAGGGTAGCAGGGCTTTTTTCATATGAGTTAGCTTAATTTTCATTTACAAAATGACAATTGACAGTTAACAGGACTTCCGCCTACAGTTACAATGTACAGAACCTCAAGCATTCAAGATAAACATTTAAGCAAAGTGGACGCTGTAGATTCTGGCTTTCATGTGACAACAGTAGCTGATGTCTGAAAATGGAGGACAAATCTGTATCACATTTATAAACTGAAATATAATCTGTCAAACAGCGACTACATCACACCAATATTTTGGGGTTGGATCCCCTCCCTTGTTTTTCCAGCAAATCTTCCTGCTTGAGCTTTGGTTTCTCAGTTCTTGTATGCCACACCCAGACCTGCGTGGGAGAGCCATATGTCAGTAAAACGATAAAAGGACTGAGAAGACAGGTGCTATGCACATCACAAGAGGTGTTGCCTGATATACATCAATATACCACTCCTACAGAAACAGATGGATTTATTGTGCTATTCAATTCCTGCTCATTTGCCTATTGATCACTGTCATGTTTCCAAATGTATGATAAATATGCAGCTTTATTTCAATTTCCAATATGGACAAGCTAGTGATGCAAGAAAAGCTATTTTGGCCCACTTAACAGAACTAACTTGTAGTAAATAAAAAGTATATATTCACTTGAAGGATCATTCGAGCTAGAATGGTGTAAAATATACATGCTACCAATTTCATTAGGAGTCTTCCCTTAACATGACACTAAAAACTCAGGAGTCAAAACTTTAAAAATGCATTCAAGTACCCTATTAACAAAAATGTATATGTATATCACTCAGCTGAAGATTCTCAAATCATCTTTGAATGGGAGCTGACACTGTCCTTCCTTCTGGAGGGTGACTATGGTCCCTGTGTGTGGTGTAAAGTAGCCACCGCTCCAAGCTCACTCCCTTGATAGACTACAATTCCAATACAAATTAGTATGAGATTTACGAGATTATAGTCTATCAGCGGCTACTTTACAACACACACAGCGACCACGGGGAACACAAGTAGCCACCCTCCAGAAGGAAGGACACTGTCACAGCCAATTCAGAGATGATTTGAGGATCTACAGCCGAGTGATACACAAATGAGCTACATTTTTGTCAATACTTAAAAAGGTACATGAATGCATTTTTAAAATTTTACTACTGAGTTTAGTGTCACTTCAAGAATTACTAATAACCGACAAATGTGTACACATTTCACAAAGAGAACTACAACAACAATCTACAATTACACTTCACAAAAATTGTATTCTTTAAGATCTTCCATAACAACACTACCTTGTTTGTCTCCACCTACAATTGGAACAATATGTAGAGTGTTGATAAAGTGCCGTCTACACCTTGGAAGGGTTTCCAAAATAACCATGTTATAACAAAAAAAAGTATACATTTATTGTAACAAAGTGATTTTCCATTGTCATGGAAGATTTCCAGAAAAGGAATTGTCTAAGTATAATTCTGGACTTATTTGTCAACCTTCCACTGGAGCACCGCATTAGATTATGCCAATAAAAACCTGGTTGGGAATACAGATCCTCGTATAACTCAAGCATTCAGAGAACATTTGGAAGCTGGCAACAGCTTCAACACCTGACAAAAAGCAGTCCAAAGAACCAGTGCCACTCCTCTGGTTGGAGAGCAGCAATGGGTCCCCCTGACAAATCCAACAGGTATTCCACGTTTAACATCAAAGGAGGTTATGGGACAAGTATGCCTCCCGTGTGACATCATAACTCTTATTGGGAAGTAACCTTTTTTTATTAGATTAATATTATCACAGGTGGTGGGCACCTTTCACCTCACTAACACCCAACATTGAATTGCTGTTTCAGCCGGGGCTTGGGGGGGAAAGTGACTCTGCATCATTAGAATAGCGAGACTGTAATAGCAAACTTTAACCAGCTAATTATACTTGTCTGCCCAAACTTGTTGGATGAGAAATCAGCCCGATCCACTTTGAATGCTGACTTGCATGGGAAAGTGCAAGCTAGAACAACTACCATAAAAATGTACTATTTTCTCTCTTGAGCATAATGACACATACATCGTGAGATTTTACTTGTAGATTGTGTGTACATACACTGCCTGGCCCAAACAAATAATTCACCACTTGGACTTAGTTTTGTGATGATCTGGGGTTGCTTCAGTTGGTCAGGTCTAGGTTCAGAAACAGTATGTGCCCCAAAAAAATCAACTGCCTACCTGAATATACTGAATGATCAGGCTTTTCCATCAATGCATTTTTATCTTCCAAGATGACAATGCCGGGATTCATGGGGCTCGAATTGTGAAAGACTGGCTCATGGAGCATGAAACATCATTTTGACACATGGATTGGCCACCACCACGTGTCAAGATCTTAACCCCATTGAGAATCTTTGGGATGTGCTGCAGAAGACTTTACGCAGTGGTCTGACTCCCATCATCACTACAAGATTTTGGTGAAAAATTAAGGCAACTCTGGATGGAAATAAATGTTGTGACATTGTATATGCTTATTGCAACTATGCCACAGCGTATGCATGCTGTAATCAAAGCTAAAAGACAATCCAATTAAATTTGTGACTTTTTATGACTTGGCAGTGTGTATAAACACATACATACATATAATTTTTGTGGAAAATTGACAGTTGTCTTGTACTCATCTACCATAAGTAGAAGGTAGTTAATTTTTAGCAAGCTCCTGAGAAGTTATTAGGAAACCCCTGTGATAAATAATATTATTAAATAATCAATTCACCAAAAAGTGTTATTTTAGTTAAAGCTAGATCCTGCTAATGGAATCAGCCCCTGGCTTCTTATACAGTATATCTTGGATACGCCAACAATTTCACAATTGCTAGATCTAGGTCTGGACACCTGGGAGTTCTGGGTGTTCCCATCCACTTTTTCCTGTTCCAGCTCCTCGACTGCATTTTTCCAGATTCAAAACTATCTGTTTTTATCTTCGGTTACAAATACACAGTATTCTTGAATATTTATTATCCTTAGTAGTTAGCCACACAAGCAGGCAACGCCTCCTCTATTAGATATATCAATGACTGTACATATACATGTATTATTCAATTATTAAATAATGCAAGTGGGTAGTGCTGACAGCAGATGCGATTGGTTACCTGGCACTGTACTTAGTATCTTCTACTATGTACTAAAGGCAAATGATCTTACCAGGAACATGCCATTGTTTTTATCTGCCTGCATTTAAATCTAAAGCTGTGTGTTTAATAGGCTTCTTGCAGGATTTATGGGCTTCCCACAAGCAGCCTTACAGATTCCACCTACTAGAGGCATTACACAGTCATAATATACAGCCTCACAGAGTTCATCTACTAGAGGTATGATGCAGTCATAATATACAGGCTTGCTGATTATACAGACTGGTGGGATGATGAAGCCACAATGTGCAGCAATAAAAAGCTCACACCCAAAAAGGGCTGATAAAGTCAATATGCTGTTATATTGTATACCTACCGTGTTTCCCCGAAAGTAAGACCTACCCCGAAAATAAGACCTAGTGCTAACTTCGGGGATTTCTGTAATATAAAACCTACCCCAAAAATAAGACCTAGTTCGGTGGTAGGTCTTATATTACAGAAATCCCCGAAGATAGCGCTTACACATTCAGAACTGCAATCTGAAGCTAGATCAGATTAGCTCATTCCCTTCTGGGAACTCTAGATCTTTGGTGGGCCTATGTAAAGAATACTCCACTGGCATCTCACCTGGGGCTTCCAAACAGCAAACCAAGTAAGTACTTCAAAGATATCAAATAAGAAGAGCAAAATAAAATTTAAAAAAAAACATACAAACCCTCCACTACCAGAAGGCAGGTTGGGGTAATCTAATAATTATTAACGCTGTTGTGTAAAATGAGCAGGGAAAGACAAAGGCAGATCTACTAAAGCAGTTAAGGCTCTCCACTCAATACACTGAGTGAAAATTCACTTCAATCATCCAATCATGTGAAAACAAATTCCTGGTTATTTATTTCACCTGCACGTACCTGGGTATTTAAAGTGAACACAGATACAATTTACTGAGTTAAGATTCTTAGTTTCTTTAGTAAATCTTACTCATAGAATGGATATTATAGGAGCATCATGTAACATTTTCCAAATGTTCATCAAAAGTGATGTAATTCCTGTGCAATGGGAATCCTAAAGCGCAACGTCACATTAAAAGGACAAGTTTATTTTTAATGAACCTTTTAAAAAATTCCCCAGGTCCCCGAGTGACTCTTGCGCTATAAAATATTTACCTTCCTGTACAATCCAGTGTTTTTCCCTGTGTGGCACAGCCTTTTTTTTTCAAAATCGCCCCCGTCAGTTGCACTTAGTGTGCATGTGCATCATGATCACATAGTCTGATCCTATAGGTGAGCCATATGCCAGCTGTCATGTGAAGTAACTTGTCCTTACGCATTCAAATGTTTCATCATTTTTTTTTTTTTTGTTCAATAAATTTTTATTGGCATATAAAGATGTAGAAAATACAAACATTGCAGGCTCTACCAGAACAGATGGTAGGACACGCGCCTCAGACAATCAATGCGGTTAACACAAGATTATTACTAAGATTGAATACGTTATGAATAGTCCAGTGTACAATTGTGGTAGAGTGCGTCAGGGTGTTATTTCCCATCGGCTGGCAGAGACATGGTTCAGTCCAACGGGACCGACCAATAGTAACCAGGATTTTTACAGAGAGTTAGCGTGAAAGTAGAAGTATAGCGGTAGATTGTTGCTTTAGAAGGGGCTGCTATACAGCCCTAGCAGCAGCAGAAGGATAAGAAAAGAGGGGGAAGAGAGAGGGTGGGAGGTTGGATGGACAGGGCGAGGGAGGGGAGGTTGGGGGAAGTGCACATCTAGGTTGGATTATTTGGCCTGTGGCAGGCAGTGGTGAGAACTAGGGCGCCTGTTCACACGTCTAATAATGCTCTATCAAAATTCGGTGGGGTCATTATTTTTTTTATACAATTCCAAATTGAATGTAGCTTTCTGCCATGGTGGAAATGTAGACACATAAAACTCCCGCTGCTCCCAGAGTCGATTGTGAACAAAATGAGAATTAAAAACACAAATAAAGCATACCTACCTTCCTTCCTGGTTTTGTATGGCTTTTCTATCACGTTTAACATTTAAGAAAATGAAAAAACTCTTTTAAACTTCTTTTCAAGCCTGTAAGGAACGTTTCCATGTGCATATACTGTACAAGGACTGACAAGACATTTGTGTAGACCATGCAGCTGCACATGGACCATATAGGATTTAGTGGTTCTTTTATAGTAGATGTAAGACACATAAGGACTGGGACTCACTCTTGGTGCAGACCTAGACACTGCTCATTTCTAGAGTAGGTGAGAACCGAGAGGCATTTTCATGATGCCCTAGCCATGCTCCTCTTTGTAATTTGGTGTTGGTCAGCAAGCATCTCCTTTACTCCCTGCCTGACCAATACGACATGCAGAATTATTTTGACACTATTTGGACTGGTAGGGGAGAGAGGCTTGGCTGTCTGACACAAGTTGGATATTATTGAAACTGAAAACACGAAGCGCACAGCTCACCTCCATCATGCGTCCCCACAATCAACATTCGGTGCACGGATGACTCATCCGGAGTAACAGGCTCAAAAACTGCGGAACCAGCACACGATGGATCTTCCAAAGAAATTAAACTTTGTTCCACATGCATCTATATACAAACCGCTGATGCGTTTCTGCCTTACTCGGCCTTCGTCATAGTTCTGCTATGACGAAGGCCGAGTAAGGCAGAAAAGCAGTTGTGCTTTGTATAAATGCATGTGGAATAAAGTTTGAATGTCTTTGGAAGATCATTGTTTACTGGTTCCACTGTTTTTGGATATTATGGACCCTGAGAAAAGCTCAGTATATTGTAAAGGTTACTTTTCATCTACAAATACACCGATCAGCCATAACATTATGAGTAGGTTTCCTTTTTGCCACCAAAACAGCCCTGACCCATTGAGACATGGACTCCACTAGACCTCTGAAGGTATGCTGTGGCATTTATAACCAAGCCTTCAGTAGAAGATCCTTTAAGTCCTGTAAGTTGCAAGGTGGGGCCTCAATGGATTGGATCGGTTTTTCCAACACATACACAGATGCTCAATTGGACTGAGATCTGGAGAATTTAGAGGCCAAGTCAATACCTCAAGCTTATTGTTCTGTTCCGCAAACCATTTTTGCAGTGTGGCAGGTAACATTATCCCACTGAAAAAGGCCACTGCAATCACGGAATCAGGGGTGTACTTGGTCAGCAACAATGTTTAGGTAGGTGGTACATGTCAAAGTAACATCCAGATGAATGGCAGGACCCAAAGTTTCCCCGCAGAGGATTGCCCAAAGCATCACACTGTCTCTGCTAGCTTGCTTTTTTCCCCATAAAGCATCCAGGTGCCATCTCTTCCCCCATCCAACCACATGATGTAAAAGAAAAAGTGCTTCATCAGACCACACTGTCTTCTTCCATTGCTCCAAGGTCCAGTTCTGATGCTCACATGCCCATTGAATTTTGGTGGTGAACAGGGGTCAGCATGGGCACCCTGTCCGGTCTGAGGCTACAGCCCCACATGCAACCAAAAGTATGTGTTTAGGCACCTTTCTATCAGAACCAACATTAACTTTTTCAGCAGCTTGCGCTACAGTTGCTCTATTGTCTCAGACTACACGGGCCAGCCTTCGCTCCCCACAACCCTGTTACCAGTTCACCTTCCTTGAACCACTTTTGGTAGGTCCTGACACCTGCAGACCAGGAACATCCCACAGGAGCTGCAGTTTTGGAGTTGCTTTGAGCAAGTCACCTAGCCATCACAATTTGGTTCTTGTCAAAGTCACTCAAATCCTTACGGTTGCCCATTTTGTCTGCTTCTAACACATTAAATTCACAGACAAAATGTTCACTTGCTGCCTAATATATTCCAGCCACTTTCATGTGCCGTTGTAACAAGATAATCAATGTAATTCATGTCACCTCTCAGTGGTCATAATGTTATTGCTGTTTGGTGTATGTCTCTAGTAATCAGGTGTTTGGACTGTATACAAATGGTATGTATACAAATTATTTTTCCTTGCACAAGGGCTCCTTGGTACCTTTGTCTACCACTGATATTGTAAATGGGATAATAATAGGTGGTAGCAAAGTTGAAGGTTTTGTTCAGTGAACAATATGTCAAATGAATGGACAACTGGAGGGGCAGTTACAGGGTAAATACCTGTGCGGCAGATGTAAGCAAGCTACCCTTGTGGAAGCTCGGTTTACAAATCTGAAGGAACAAAACGAAACACTGTGGCAAGTGACAACCTTGGGAAGAGTCTTCTCACTGAGCAAGCAGGTAATGTATGTGGAATGTTTAGCCAGAATAATCAGGCAAGGAGCTGAGGTAGTGCATTCAGAGGGAGTAACAGAGGGTCCAGGAAAAGGAAGGCCAGTTCTGTTTGAGCACTCAAATACATTTTCAAAATGAGGTGAAGATAGTAGGGGGGACAACTGCAGAAGTGGCAGTAGATGGGCTGCTTTCTGGCTGCGATGGAGAGCAGTAACATCTAGTAGGTGTTGGGATTGCAAAGCAGGAAGGCCTAGACCAGGGGTGCCCATAAGGTCGATCCTCTCCTCCCGCCGCTTCTCTGGATCCCCGCTGCTCTCCCCAGCGGGGATCCGAGAAGAAGTGAAGGAACCGGCGGCGGGGGAGGGCAGAGCCGCTGTCACTAACTAATGCAGAGCAGTGAGGAGAGAGAGAGACGCTCGGCCAGGATCTGACAGCCGGCACCTCTCTCTCCCCTCACTGCTCGTCCGTTCTGTCACAGCGGCTCCGCTCCGCCGCCCCTCCGTCGGCTGATCACTCCAGTGTTTGTAAATAACTGGGGACACATAGTGCTGTGTGTCCCCAGTTATAAATGAATGAACAGGAGGTGATTTACATCACCTCCTGTTCATTCATAAGTTTCTCAATGGGGAGAAGCACTCTGTACAGAGGCTCCTCCCCATTCAGAAACAGCTTGATAGTAAAATATTTTCTTAATGAATGGGAAGCCTCTGTGCTTTCCATTCATTTAGAATAGAGGCTGCAGAAAAAGAGATTGAGGACTTTGTGTCCTCAATTTCTTTTTCTATTTTAAAAGGGAAATATCAGGGGGCTTTTTAGACCCCTAATATTTCCCCGAAGCCCCCCCAAGAGTAAAAAAAAAAAAATTATGAAAATTTAAAATAAATAAAAATAAATAATGAAAATAAAATAAAAAATAGTAAAAAATAAATTAAAAAAACTTTGTTTTTTTTCCTTGCCTCAGGCGCAAAAGGAGCTGGCTACGGCTATGCTCCCGTGGTGCTCGTGCGGCTGCCGGCTGAATGTGTCAGACGCTGCAGATGGAAAGGTGCAGGACACCCCATGTGCAACGTCGGCCACACGAGCACCACGGGAGGACAGGACGCCGGGACTTGTAATGTACTGTAATGTAAGCAGGCCGACTCCCTGCATTCCGGTGCGGGTGGGGGTGTGGAGCTGTATTGAAGTCAATGGCATCGCCCACAGTGCGATCGCCCGCACTCGGAACGCAGGCACATTAGTGCCTGCATTCCGGTCCAGTGCGATCTGCAAAAATAGTGCTTGCAGCATTTTTGCGGATCGCACTGGACTGGAACACAGGCACTAATGCAAGCGATCGCACTGTGGGCGAGGGGCCTGCCTGCGCAGCCCACGCCCCCTCCCGCCCCTGAATGCAGGTGTTTTTCCGTTGGTAGATCTCAATGAGCTCGTCATTTGAAAAGTAGATCTCCAGATGAAAAATAGTGGGCGCCCCTGGCCTAGACACATGTTTAGACATAAATACCTGGGATTTAAAGAGGTAATTGGAGAGCTCAGATAAGAAAAAAAAGGGGTGGATAGATTTCATCCATCCAAAAAGTCTCAGGCTTAGTCAAAATAAGATGGTAGCTTGTCTAAGTTTATCTAATTGGCTGCTGTGGGAGATCAAGGCAAGCAGCTACTACCTTATCTTTATTGTTTATGTACCACCATCCTTAATATGGGGAAGCTGGTTAAGCGAGATGTAGAGAGATATACTACAGGTAGTGGCTGAAGAGTTGTGAAATTAACAATCTACAATGACTGGTATTTAACACATTGAACATATTGTAGCTGGTATCACGTTTTATGTTGAAGTGTCCTCACCAACCTTAGAGCAATTATCCGCTCGTGGCTCCAGTTCTTTCACGGTCACAAGTTGTCCCAGTAAACTGCTCTCCAGGAAACCTCTCTCAGCGTCGGGGTCAAATCGTGCACTCGGGTGGTTTAGGAGTAACAACAAGGATACTGCAAATCCCGCCATGTCTATAGGGAAAGGTCTGTGTGTCTTCCAGGCAGTGTGGAAGCCAACTACTTTACCATTATCAACAAGTGGTGCTTCATATCTCAGACCCCCAACAAGCCCAACAGGCCACACAGACACTTTCTGGGTAGAACGCATCTAAAATAAAAAGAAAAAATTTTACAGAATTTATCATGAGTTGACTTATACTGCAAGTTTTAAAATAACAACATATAGTTAATGCATAACACTTCATATACTTTTTTCTTACAATAGCAAAGCAGCTACCATGCGATATAGTAACTCTTTTTGTCTGACCAACCCCCTCCACTAAAAAATGCTGATAACCGTATGCCAGAAAAGTCTATTTACTGTCAGAAATAATCCCGCGAGACACTGCGGAGAACCCATGAATCCCCTTGGACTGGAATTTCAGATATAACATTTATTAGTCCTAGTTTTGGATGTGTGTGGAAGGGTTAGAACCTCTCCCAGATTTGTATTGTTTTCGATTTCACTGTTTGGTAGATTTTTTTACTTTAGTCCTACATTTTTAAATGTCACAATAGGAACATGTAGTGACAGGAGATCTGCCAAGGGGGACACCTGTTCGGGTGACAACTGTCAAAGATGGGATCTCGGCTGTAGATCCTCTCATAATCTTTGAATTGGTGCCGACCGTGTCCTTCCTTCTGGAGAGTGGCTACTTTTGTTCCTCATGGTCCCTGTGTGGGTTGTAAAGTAGCCACCGCTCCAAGCTCGCTCCTGTGATGGACTACAATCTCAATACAGATTAGTAAACTAAAACGTGAGATTGTAGTCCATCACCGGAGCAAGCTTGGTGCGGTGGTTACTTTACAACACACACTTTTGACCATGGGGAACAAAAGTAGCCACCCTGCAGAAAGAAGGACAGCGTCGTTATGAATTCAGAGATGATGGGATGATCTACTGCTGAGTGATACACAAATAAGATATATTTTTGTTAATATGTCTGTGAAGAACATACAGCAAGTCCAGTTGCCTTGATTTATTTTTTACAGATATTTTTGTTAACAGTAAAAGGTACTTGGATGCATTTTTAAGGTTTACCTCCTGAGTTTAGTGTCACTTTAAGATCAGTTTGTGCTGACCCTGAGGGTCAGTAACACTTGGTTACACTTCTCACCTCCTGAAAGATCTGAACACTGTACGTGTTGTCATCATCTGCAAAGTACACAACTCCGCGCTCTCCGGGAGACCGGTGTTCACGAAGCCAGCGTAATGCTTCATTCCTCTGCTCCACCCCACGTGGCTTCAGCCAGTTTGGATCAGAGTCTTTCAGTTTCATTGCTGGTGGAGTCTGCACATTCAAGTGTGTGTAAGGCAAGTCACTCTGTGCCAGGAGTTCAGCTACGGCCGCAGTGCGTTCCGCCGAGTCCTCCACTAGAATCCAGTGCAGGGCAGGTACTAGAAGGAATGTCTGGCATAGACGGGTGAGCTCAGCTCGCTGATGGGGCCTGAGAACAAGGCAAGACAGAATGTGTAACAAACTTTGTTATACGAGATCAGATACATAAAATAATAAAAGAAAAAAAAATCCAAACATTACCAGAATGTCTCTTTTTAAAAGATCATGCAAGTGGCAGAATTGATTTATTATTAAGTATGTCAGGAGAGGAAGTGGCGCTATTAACGCCAAGGATTTAACAACTTTTTTATAATAGCTTAGCCTTCTTTGACTCTAAAGGTGGTCATACACTTTACAACCATTGCAAGACCTTAGTCTTGCGATGGTTGTAAAGTAATTAAAAAAACATATGATCTGCCTGAGGGGCGGGCTTCTGATGACCGCAATGCTGAAAAGGCAGTGTACGCGTGCGCACACCGGCCCGTTCGGCATTTGTCTCCCGAGCATGCCGCAAACCAGCCGAAAATCTTAACATGCTCCTTAGACAAAAGACGTGCCACCGTACAGTAAAAATGGTTGCACGCCTTCCATACACATGCACGATTCTCGTACGATCGGGGAATTTCCCGCGATTCTTGTACAAGAATCGTGCAGTGTATGGGCACCTTAACGGTAGGCCATCTGACAGGAAAAGGGGCAATAGATATAAAAACTACTGCTGCACTGATCATGTCTTTTAATGGTGGTAACAATTCTATTAGGTAGATCCAAACCTAGCTTCGTCAAGGGTAGTTTGCTGTAGCACTGTGTATCACAAAATGTCATTTTGTTTAAATGAAATACTTGTTTTCACCTATTTTTCACCCTTTGTTGCATCTCAGTGCTGCTGATCTACTGCATCCTCTCTGCACTCAGACATTGGCTACTTGGCATTTCATAGGGCGGGTTTCCTGATGGTGACTGCCGTGGATAAAAAAAAAACCACACCGGATCGCATTCTGGCCGCCTCACTTTGTTTTGGGGTGGGAGGGGGCGTGGCGGTGCATTGTAGTCAATGGCACCGCAGCCATGCCCTCCGGCCGCCGTGCAATTGCCTGCGTTCCGGTCCGGTGCAATCATAAAAACCTCATTGACTTTAATGATCCGCCACGCCCCCTCCCGCCGCAAAACAAAGTGAGCCGGGTGGAATGCGTTGCGGCACCAATCGGGCTGGAACGCACTTAGGATGGTGTGAACTAGCCCTAAATCCTGAAGTGTCAGAGACGGGTGTTTCATATTTTTATGTTTTTATGTCAATCCGTGAGCAAAAATTACACACAACATTGTATACAAAACCCACAGACAGAAATACTATTCTTCATTACAGTAGTGCACATTATAAACATACACTGGATAATCTTTACAACTCTCAAGTTATGCAAGTGATGCGTATTTGTTCAGACCATGACGCATGTCAGGCACAGATTAACATTATGCACCACAAGTTCCTACAAAGAACATCCCCCATAAAGTTATTGACGGTGCACTGACCAAAGCCATTCATAAAATCAACAACGCTAAGCTGATAAGTGACACTGAGGACAGAAATCCCTTCATACAACAATACAATAATGCATCGCACATTGTACACTAATCTACAATAAAGAATTTGAACATCCTTCAAGCCGACAGAAAACTTTATTTGCAGGTTAGAAACAGAACCATTCAGGGTGTACCGCCGCAGCAAGACCTTCAGGGATCCCCTAGTTCAGGTGGATCCGAGGTCTCAGTATATGAAAACCCCTATAAAGATTTCTGAGAAGGTTGGCTGTTACAAGTGCTAGAATTGCAACATTTATAATTCCCTGATCCTTGGGGAGTATTTCTTGCACTAGCACAGAGGCAACAGATACAAGATGAATGGCTACTTCAATTGCAATACCGATTTTTGTCTATACATACTAAAATGCCCATGCACCCTCGTTATTGTCAGCCATACCATCGGCCCTTTCAAAAAACGTTTTCAGAAACATCTTAGTGAGGTTAGAATCACCATAAATAAGATAATAAGATGATTAGAGGGGAAGAAGTTGACAGCAACAAACCGGTTGCCGTTCGAGAATTTTTCAGATCTTTGGACGGGAGCGAAGACTATTCAGGTCCGCATTATGGCCACTAGACACAGCTGAGGAGCATAGAAGATTTTTAGGGTGTTTGCTGCGAGTGCCTCCTTTTTATTAGTATTTATAAATGGAGCCCTCGGGAATATTAAGATTTTGATAAGACGACTTACCTTGAATGAGTTGGAGTTACTACATAAATAATAGGCAAGTTCGCTTTGCCCCAATGGTGCGACCGTTCCTTTTTTAAGACATCATTAGCAGAGTTCACTCGGTGTGCACAGTCACATTGCTGGCCTGCAGACGATAATAGAGAACATATATGACCATTTCAGAATGCCAGTTTCTAAAACTAACTGAAATAGCAACGTCACTGGATAGAAGACACACAGATGTTTTCATTGCAGAACTGATCGTATGTTTTATTTTTCTTTACTTAATTCATTCGCTGCCACTGACGTAAGGCTTGTGGTGGAACACAACTGTTTCCAGCTGGCCACGTCAGTAAGCCTTGCGTTGGTGGCTTTTACGGTTCTGCTATAAGCTCATGGTCACCTTAGCGACCATGAGCTTATACCAGAATGGTCCCTTCGCAGGTCCCCTTTAAAATAATAGCTGTCATCAGCGGCTCAGAAGCCGCTAATGACAGCTATTAACAAAAAATCCAGGCCCACTCCGCTGGCACTGCTGCTGGCCACCGCAATCTGCAGCCTCTTCTCCCTGGGATCTATTTCTCCCCGGAAACACAGGGCCGAGTAGTCTCTCCTGATGAAGGTAGCTCTGGCAAGGATGCTTGCCTTGCAGACAGGACACCACCTATTTCACATTAGGGAACAAAGTTTTTATGAGCAGAAAAATTTACTTACACAACATACTTCATTGAAACTCACCAAGTTGTAGCAGAGCATACAGAAGACCAGCACTGGATACCACAAAATACACAAGAAAAATATTCCTGAGCTTCAGTCTCATGGTGAGAAGACAACAGCTGGGGCACCTAACATTGGGAAAAAAAGACAATAAAGACAATACAGCTAGCAAAACCTTGATTCAGCTATTTAATTTAAAGCTTACATTATGCCAGCTTGGTTAGATGTAATTATCCATGGGTCACATACATAGGGCGGCCGAGGATGCTGAAATTCTCTGTAGTAGTCTGTGCTACATACAGTCAGTACTCTCCTGTTCCAGGTGCTGTTGGAGTGACCTGCTATCTGTATGCTGAACACAGGGAGTAACAAGCTCCCATTCCCCAACATTTAGCAAACGTCTTGTATGTTTTTCAAATGCTACAAAATGTTCTCCCATTGGACGAGGTGGTGATTGTTACATCATCTACCCCACCCTCTCTGCCTCGTTCAATCTGAGAATGGCTTGTTTTCGCTATTAAAAAAATACAAGGCGTTCTCTGAATTTTGGAGGTGCAGGAGTGAGTGGCTTCCTGTGTTCAGTGTACAGACGATAAGTCGCTCAATAGGACAGTGCTGACTGTATGTAGCACAGAATACTACAGTAAATTTCAGCATCTCTGGCTGCCGTCTTTATGTGACACATGGATAATTACGTGTAATGTTGCTGGCCCAATGCAAGTAAGTTTCTGGATACAAAAATTGTAGGGCTGTGGAAATTAAAGATTCATTTCTCGATTAATCAATAAACTTTTTGATTGATTAAAATTTTGTTGATCGCTAATGAAAACACTCACCTCTTCGCCAGCCTCCGGGAGTCCCGTCGACGATCCAGTGACATCACGGACATCGACGTCACCAGACTTCTCCCCCCTTCCCCAAGTGGCTCCGACATGTTTTGATTAAAAATCAAACACGAAAGTTTTAATCATTACCAGCCCTAAAAAATTGTAATAAAACGAGTTATACAAGAGAAAAAGTGAATTAAACAACATAACGTGTGTGTCAGCTATAACATACTGTTTTCTTACCTGCACTTCCCTCTGGTTCAGAGCCCCGCACCCATCTCCTCCAGCCATGTCCTTTGGTGCTAGCAACCAGCCTAGCCACAGAAGGACCAGAACTGTTCATAACATAATGTAAGATGGAGCTTATCCCTTCCCTACCTACTATACACACACTTTAGAGGTAGAACCCCAGGCATATGAAACATTACCATCCCTTTGCAGTTTTGCTTCCAATGCCCTGCAAGGGTTAAATGATCATTTTTGTCAAGGGTCACCTGATCCTTGGTCCTGCCTGGCGGTTAGACCTGTCCACCTAGCTTCTCTCTCCCTCTGCTCCATTGATCTAGGGATCTGTGAGTCATCATGTCTATTACAGTGAGGGGGGGAGAGGTGAGCAGTCACTGCCACAGGATTGAGGGTTGAGTGAGTATATCTTTTTTTTTTATTTAAGACCAGTGGTCATGTGATCTACACTGCGTGCAAAGAGCTGAATGATCAGCACTCATGTAACCTACAACGCATGCAGAGAGATGACTGATGAGCACTCATGTGAGCTACACTGCACAGACAAAGAGCTGACTGATCAGCACTCATGTGATCTACACTGCACGCAGAGAGATGAGTGATCAGCACTCATGTGATCTACACTGCATGCAGAAAGATGACTGATCTACACTGCATGCGATCTACACTGCATGCAGACAGAGAGATGACTGATCAGCAGTCATGCGATCTACACTGCACAGACAAAGAGATGACTGATCAGCAGTCATGCGATCTCCACTGCACAGACAAAGAGATGACTGATCAGCACTCGTGATCTACACTGCATGCAGACAGAGATGACTGATCAGCACTCATGTGATCTACACTGCATGCAGACAGAGAGATGACTGATCAGCAGTCATGTGATCTACACTGCACAGACAAAGAGCTGACTGATCAGCACTCATGTGATCTACACTGCATGCAGAGAGTGTAGCACTCATGTGATTTACACTGCATGCAGACAGAGAGATGACTGATCTACACTGCGTGCAGAGATGACTGATCAGCAGTCAGTGATCTACACTGCATGCAGACAGAGAGATGACTGATCAGCGCTTCATGTGATCTGTCAGTTCTTGGTCTTAGGGACAGCTGCAGTATGAAGGGGTGATGGGGGCTATGTATATATTTTATTTTATCAACCGCATAAGTCTTCTTTAAGCACTCTGGAGGACGGAGCACCCCATCGCACTTTATCAGTTACATGTGTAGCTGAGCCCATATCACCAGATAATTTTCCTGCTGACATCTCTGGTGATCAGTGAGAGCTCAAACAAGCACTGTAGTTTTCATCTTTAGTGGAAATGAATTGCCCAGTGACATATTTTATATCACACACATCATAAACCCACATTCTGAAAATTCTAAGCCTTTCTGAAACTTGCAATAAACTCTGGATTGGTTATTTCTGAATCCCTATTTCTGTGCTGTCACTATGACTGTACGAACCCTAATGCTCCATTTTACTGTTGGCAAGCAATGTACCATACGGTGTAAAGGATCAGATCATACATCGCAGATCGTTAAGGACTGTTACGTCTATATACAAATCTATGAAAATGAGTACTGATAACCTCACCCCGATTGTTGTTACGTTCCCATTGCTCCGCAGCAGAACCGGAAGCAATGAGTGAAAAGAGGGGCCTTTCAAGTTACTCAGCGCAGCTTAATGACGTCACGGAGCCTCCAGTGCTGTGTCCGCAACGTGGTGCATACGTCTGCACGGTGAAGGTGCCCAATAGATTGTACTGTGGGGCTTCCATTGATTGAACAGGGCGTTAGATTCCAGATGGCGTATTTTAAAATAAATGCTACTGTAGAATATTTTGTATAATATATTGCTTAGAGGTTAGCAGAGAAAATTAATAAAGTCAATCTAAACCCAATCACCAAAATCTCATTTAAACTTTGAAATGTTAAAGTCACTTTCAGTCTTTTATTAAAGTACAGCTTTCATTAAAAGAATACTTGGTAATTCTCCCATAAAGGGGCACTTCCTGTTATAGGGTGACAATGCTCTGTCCCTGTGTCTCAGTTGCTCTCCTGCCTTGTCACCCTGTCGTGTGCTTCCAGTAGAGACTATTAGCTGTCATGCCGATTCATTGTGTAGGAATGTTCTGCAGACCGCACAACTGTATTGTATTGTACAGGGCTGTCCTGGAATCTAGGGCTGAGTCACACTTCAGCGATCTGTCATATAGCCACTGACCCCCAGCGTTGGAGGAGATGCTAAGCCAACTGGCTACCAGTGATGGAGGGTATTTGACTACTCCAGACCACTGAAATTTATACTCCGTGTTGTATTCTACACAGTCCTCACTAAAGCCCTGTATACGCTTTTGATGTGCAGTACATAATCCTGACCACTGCGCTGTATATACGGTGTAGTACAGCACATAGTCCTGACCACTGTGCTGTATATACGGTGTAGTACAGCCAGAGGCGGCTCTTTAATTAGGCAAATAAGGCGGTCGCCTTAGAACTCGCGCTCCCGAGGGCCTCGCGGCCGCCTAATTTGCCCTGCCGGCACATTACCTCGCAGCCAGGTAACGTCATGTGCTCTCAGCCCTGTCGCTGTCAAGCTGAGACTCTCCGTTTGACAGCGACAGGGCTGAGAGCTTATCCGTTTCCTCGGTCCGTCCATTCGGCCAGTGGTCTTCTGGAGCTCCGCCCACCAGCCACTGGAAAGCCATCTCACCCCTCCCATCCACCGTGCGAGGATCCCAATCTGGCTGGGAGGGCGGAGTTGAATCTGGCTGGGAGGGCGGAGTTGAATCTGGCTGGGAGGGCGGAGTTGAATCTGGCTGAGAGGGCGGAGCTCAGTCTGGCTGGGAGGGTGGATTGTCAGGGGCAGATGGATGGAGACGTAGTCAGCAACGGCTGGTCCTGCACGCTCCTGCCCGTGAGACGCTCCCTGCACAGTCCTGGTGAGAGTCAGCCTTCACAGGCTACAGCAATGGTGAGAGCCCTGTGGAGACCCTAGAGAGCCCTGTGGAGACCCTAGAGAGCCCTGTGGATGGACCCCCTCAGAGCCCTGGTGATTCCCCAGAGAACCTTGGTGAGACCCCACAAAGCCATTATGAGACCCCATGGAGCTGTGGTGAGACCTTATGAAGCCCTGGTGCTTGTGAGACCCACATCGCCCTGGTGAGACCAGGGCTCTGTGGGGTATCACCAGGGCTCTGTGGGGTCTCACCAGGGGACTGTGGGGTCTAACAAGGCTGGTTAGATCCCACAGAGCCCTGGTGAGTTAGCCCCAGTTAAACCCCACAGAGCCCTGGTGAGACCCAGCAAAGCCCAGGAGAGACCATATAGAGCCCTGTGGTATCTCACCAGGGCTCTGAGGGGTTTAACCAAGCTGGTTAGACCCCACAGAGCCCTGGTGAGACCTTACAGAGCCCTGGTTTAACCAAGGATATGTGGGTCTCAACAGGGCTCTGAGGGGTCTCACCAGGGCTCTCTGGGGTCCTGCTAGGCTGGTTAGACCCCACAGAGCCCTGTTTAAAGTAGGGCTCTGTGGGTTCTCACTATTCCTGGTTAAACCCCACAGAGCCCTGGTGAGACCATACAGAGCCCTTGTGTTGGTGAGACCCTACAGAGCCCTGGTATAACCTTTGGGGTCTCACCAGGGCTGTGTGGGGTCTCACCAGGCTGATGAGACCCCACAGAGCTCTGATTTAACCAGGGCTCTGTGGGGTCTCACTAGGGCTCTGAGGGGTCTAACCAGGCTGATGAGACCCCACAGAGCCCTGGTGAGACCCTACAGAGCCCTGGGTTATTCAGGGCTCTGTGGGGTCTCACCAGCGCTCTTTGGAGGCCTTACTGGGGCTCTGTGGGTCTCATCAGCCTGGTTAAACCCCACAGAGCCCTGGTGAGACCCCACAGGCCTGAGCGGGGCCTCATGTTTAGGTTTCGCCTAAGGCCTCGCAAACTCTAGAGCTGCCTCTGGTGCTTTATCAGGGTGGTACGTGGAAAAGCACCTTGTCCCTGTGCCAAGGGCTTCTTCCCCACAAGCCCTGCGGCGTTGGTTGTGGGGGTGCGGGCAGGGGGCTTATTGACATCAGGGTACCCCTTTATTAAGGGGCACCCAGATGCCGCCTCCCCCCCTGTGAATGAGTAAGGGGTACTTGTATAATGTCAATATAAACAATTTGGCAGAGCTAGCGGTGACAGCTAGCTCCACCCAACTGTTTACAGTTGTACGGCATCTGACAGGTGAGCCATGATTGGGCAAAGTTATCATGACTTTGCCCAATCATGGCTCCTACAGAGTACTGGGCCCTGACTGGGCAAAGTCTTGCACCTGACCAGGTGCAAGGCTTTAGCCAATCAGGGCTTCACAAGGCGCAGTGCCTTGCAGAGCGCTCGGCGGGCAAACAGCCGAACGCCCTGACAATTCGTGTGTTCCCCGAACCCACGAACTGCCGATGTTCAAGTCGAACTCACGCTCGACTCGAACATCGAGCAAATCCCTAGTAGGGAAGAGACCTGTAAGTGTAAGTGAAACGGCAGTAGAAAAGGTCCATTCCCTTATCAAGCTGGGCTGGGCTGTGTGACAGAGCTGTGTACATCTCAAGGCTGCATAGACATGAATACAAATCCTTTGGCAGGCAAAACAACTGTTATATGTGTATCTTCTCTGTGCATTTAGTTGTTTGCCTGGAGTTCAGCTTTGATACTCAGAATAATACAAGTGAGCTGACTCTCTGCCTACGGGAGATACTGTATTTCCTGGATGGGATTGCAGCTGACCAATTGATTTCACTTTTGTCTGGAGCTACATTTAATGAAGTGGAGGCTGGCAGGGGATCTATTTACTTCTCCTTGTGAGCTGTGATGAATATAACATGAGAATAATCTACGAGATCGCTCACATTCCGTCTCCTCTGCACGACGCAGTAATCGATGACAAAGCCCAGCTTGCTGAGAGCGGATCTTACAAAGCTCTCATCGTATTTCATCCAATGGAACCGATCCGCTCCGGCTGTTATGTAAGTCGCATTTATCGCCCCCATGAGGATCAGGTGACCTCCGATTTACAGCAGGTTTGAGACGTTTTACAGGTTCCTCATGTAATCCTCCTCATCTTTACTGATGAGGTCCAATAACCCCACACTGATGACGCAATCGGCAAGAGGTAACACCAGCGGGTGGGCTAGATTCTCCTCTTCAAGGTTACACGTCACAATATGCTTGATGGACGCTTTTAGGTTCAGTTCTTTGTCCTGAATTTGGTCACTGAAAAAAATTATAACAGAGAAGATAAAGTTCATGGCCTAGAATTCCTCTGTGAAGATTAAAGGAGAACTATGAGGTGAGTGCTTTTCACTTATCCTCATAGTTCTAGCAGACCTGTGACAATGAGACTGTCACAGGTCGGCTCAGTAGATCGGGAGGTGAGCGAACACATACCGGCGTTCGCTCACCTCTCGATCCTGTCACGGCTCTCTGCCGTGACAGGGGAGGGGCTGGATTCCCCCGCTCCGATCCGCCAGCGCTGACTGGCAGAACGGACGGGGGAGGGGGCGGGTACAGCTGGCTCTGCCTCTAGATAGGCAGAGCCAGCTGTCAGTCACGCAGCTGGGCGGATCCCGGCACAATTGTCGGGATCCACTTCAGCTGCGGCGTCTCAGTATACCGCGAGCTACAGCTCGCGGTATACTGAGCCTAGGGTGATGGAAGGACGCTAGTTTGTGTCCTCCCGTTACCCTAAGGAGAACTATGGGGAAAAGCCTTAACCCCAAAGTTCTCCTTTAAACCGCCATATAACACATGCACCAGGATGTCCTGCAATCAGCATTGAACAATGCTGACTACTTACCAGCAACATTATCAAACTCCTGGTGTCACTCAGCCACCCTGGTGCTAGATACAGTGTACCGCACAGGGGAAGCTTCCTGATCACGCTTTGCAATTACATGATGGAGATAGCTCTGAGTAGCTGAGTGACATCATGGGTTGTAATGTGTCACAGGTAAACAGTTGTCACTGTTAACACTGTTAACAGACGGCCTAAAATTTCTTCTCAGACCCCATACAGCCTCCCCTGAGACGCCACACATGCCATCTAAGAATCCTCACAGCCCCCTGAGAACCTACACAGCCCTCCTGAGACCCCACACAGCCTTCTGAGACCCCGCACAGTCTACCTGAGACCCCACACAGCCTTCTGAGTCCCCGCACAGCCAACCTGAGACCCCTCACAGCTCTCTGAGACCCCACACAGCCTTCTGAGTCCCCGCACAGCCAACCTGAGACCCCACACAGCCCTTCTGAGACCTTGCACAGCTTTCTGAGACCCTACGCAGCCCTCTGAGACCCCACATCCCTTCTGAGACCTTGCACAGCCTACTGAGATCCCACAGAGCCCACCTGAGACACAGCACAGCCTCCTGAGACTCTGCCTCAGCCTCCTGAGATCCTGCGCAGCCCTCCTGAGATCCTCCACAGCCCTCCAGAGATCCTCCACAGCCCACCTGATATCCTCTGCTGGAGACATCAGGCCATCACCCCGGAGCAGCATGTTTTCGAAATTTTTCAGCATTCCTATAAAAGGGGGAAAACACTCTGTACCTGTCTCCCAATTGTTCTCCTGTGTTGTCACCCTGTCACACGGAATTCAAATGGAGGCTATAGGTGACCATTTCAACACACATTACACAGTCATGGTCCACCATCATTTGCTGCTCACCTTGGAAAGCCTCAACACATATGCTGTGCTATTTGAATCAACAGGCATCATCTCCATTGCAGTCCTCTCCTCATTGCTCTGTTTTCTCCTGCAGCTCCCTAGGGCAAGCGTCAGCTTGCTCAAAGAGCCATTTGGACCCGTTTTCCACAGAAAAGAAAACACAAAACCCTTTTGACATCTAAAATGAAGATAACACGCCATATATAGTTTTTTACCTTTATGCTATGTATAGCATGTATATAGGTATATGTGGGCTTAGTAGCGCACTGGACTCTGGGCTTAGTAACGCACTGGACTCTGGGCTTAGTAACGCACTGGACTCTGGGCTTAGTAACGCACTGGACTCTGGGCTTAGTAACGCACTGGACTCTGGGCTTAGTAACGCACTGGACTCTGGGCTTAGTAACGCACTGGACTCTGGGCTTAGTAACGCACTGGACTCTGGGCTTAGTAACGCACTGGACTCTGGGCTTAGTAACGCACTGGACTCTGGGCTTAGTAACGCACTGGACTCTAGACTTACCTAAAACCCCGCAGAGCGCACCTGAGAGTGACCGTGCAGAGCACACCATAGATCCTGCACAGCCCATCTGAGACTCTCTATGGTGGGCTCTGCAGGGCCTCAGGTGGGCTGGCCGCCGGGGTCCCTTTCCCAGTACCTCATCCCAAGTCCTCTTACCTGCTGCTGCTGGGGCCCGGCCTCCTCCACCCCCTCCCCTGTCACCTCTGCCATGCCGCTCCTGGTACAGCTGATACTCATGTAAGAGGCCCCCCAGGCTGCCCTGACCCCTCACATGGGTACCGGCGGTACCCCCCTGATGGTGGTGTTCTATCAAAGTTTGTGACTACGTTACAATGTAATCCCACACAGTTTTTTGGCGGTGGAATGTGTGACCGCCAGTAGGTCAAGCATTCCAACGCTTTTGCAGCTGTTCCAGGGCAGATCGGCATCGCAGATGGTATGTGCAGGAGAACTGATCTGCCCTAGAACAGCTAGGGCAGATCAGTCCTAGGACAGCTAAGGCAGTCCTGAAATGTCACTTCTATCCGACTCTGTGAGTGCGATCTCACATTCCACCTCACTCAAAAAGTCGGATAGAAGTGACATTTCAGGACCGATCAACTGTTCCAGGGCAGATCAATTCTGCGCATACCATCTGCAATGCCGTGTTGTGTGCAGCAAGGTAGCCAACATCCCCATTGCTGTCCCCTACTCACTATTGTCTCTTTTGGAAATTTAAGGATGAAAAGCAAAATAACGTAATTGTCGCTCACAGAACTTCAAGAGGAGCTGACACTCAATATAAGTTATGAATAACAATTTATATACATGTAGTGAGCCACAAATGTCTCATTTCAACTTCAATAAATGATTGATAGACCAGTATGGGGATTTTCACTACTATGAGTGGTATTTTTATTGCTTTCTACATAAAGGAATTTCATTTATAAAATTTACAGATTCCTACATACCTCTGCTGAACACATAGTGAAGATTCATCAACGGAAATGTCAAAAAATCTTCACCAAAGACCATGTCCTCCTTGCCAAAGAAGTAGAAATCAAGGCTACTTCTAGAATCAAATCTATGAAGGTGGTAGAGTTTCTTTGGTATAGAATCCATCTTGCAGCGTCTATGGGTCAGGTGTCACTTCTTTGGTTTCCACTTTCCAATGT